CATCTGGAAACACTTTTCCTGTTTCCTGACAAACATTATACCTACCTCTCTCTAGGTAGATCTGTTTGTGACTTGATAAAACTCGCTGAGTGGGCGAAACGTTGCCAATAAAGGATCGTATGATACTGCATTTTTTTTCCCCATCTTGGGAAGAGGATGTAAGAAACAGAAATAGACTACTGCTTTGCTTTGGGCTATCCTGAGTTTTTAATAACCAGAGGTAAATCAAAAAATATTTCGGCCGTCAGTAATGGTTTGACATCCATCGCGATATAATCATAATTTGTGTTATAATAATGACAGATATAATTTTGATGTAGGTTTTAGCAGTAAAGGTCGAGAACCAAAACCTAGTCATTGTGATAGTCTACAAGCCTCCGGATGCAACATCCCAGCAATTCCAGGAACAGCTGTTAAAAATTGACCACTGTCTGGAAAACCTTCCAGCTCCTGCACCCAACATCTTGCTCCTGGGGGATTTCAACTTAAGGCACCTAAAATGGAGGAATATAGCAAATAATATTGTTGCAGTAATAACACCAGGAGGCACCTCTGATGAAAACTCACTCTCACGCGAGCTTTTAAATCTCTGCACAAAATTCAATTTAAACCAGCAAATAATAGAGCCTACTAGACTGGAGAATACACTAGACCTCATCTTCACTAACAATGATGATCTGATAAGAAATATCACCATATCAAAAACAATATACTCAGATCACAACATAATTGAGGTTCAGTCATGTATGCGCGGAGCCCCAGACCGAAATAATGAGATTAGTCACGAGGGAGCATTCACCAAATTCAACTTCAAAAACAAAAACATAAAGGGGACCAAGTAAACCAAGTCCTAACCGATATAAGCGGGAAATATACAAGCAACACAGACCCCAACTTTGCCTAGAACAATTAACTCGGTACACTCGAGAAAGCACAAGGCTTATTCCCTAAAAAAAGGAGGAGTAGATGAAAAACAAAAAGGGAAACGGGGGCCCCCTTTTACAGGCCGGAAAAGAATAACAGACGGCTAAAAGAGGCAATTATCGAAATGCGTAGGGAGACACGGGTCAAAAAATAGCAAGCAAGACTTAACTAAAAAAATCCTTTAGGAGCAGAACGCGGAAGAACTAAAAGCCATAAATGAAATCAAAAAAGAAACCCAAAGTATTTCTCTCCTATCCCAAATCAAAACGAGAACAACGTCCAGATTGGGGCCCCTACTTAAACAGAGGGGCCCTACACAGTGAAACAAGAAATGAGTGAGCTACCAAGTCCAAATGCTCGTTTTAGCAACCCCTAACCAACTGAGAGTCAAGATAAAAAAGAATTTTTTTATGAGAAACCCACAAAATTTGATTAAAAAACCCATCCGATGTTACCCTGACCCCAAATGACTTGAACAGGCGATAAATGACATCCCCATGCACTCTGCCCCAGAAACCAGATCAGGGAACTCTGTGTTCTCAAAAACTGCAAAAAGCCCCCATCACGAGCCCTTTTCCCTCCATGGGGAGGGAGAGGGGAAAGGGGGTCGTCCCCCAGTTACTAAAAAAAAACAGACATACCCCACTCCACAAGGGGGCAGTAAACAACAGCAAAGAACTACAACCAATAGCACTAACATCCCCATTCAAAAAATCTTTTAAAGGGGCCTAAGAAGCAAAATCACCACGCATCTAGAAACCCCTCAGTTTCACAACCCAGGGCAACATTGTTTTGAACAGGGCCCCTGTTGTCTCAATATTGGACCACTACGCAAGGTCCCAAATGCACAGAAACCAAAAAGAAGCAGATGAAAATATACAGACTTTGCAAAAGCCTTCGCAAGTGGACCCTGGCGTAATAGCCACAAAAGCGTGCTAAAGGAATAACAGGGAAAAATCGTCGAGGATCTAAATTTCCTCACTAACCGAAACAGGGTAGTCGTCAACAAGTAAAGTCCGAGGCGCTACGGTGAAAAGCTCCCGTTCCAAAGGACAGTCTCGCCCCATCTTTTCCTCTCCTTATACCACATAGACAAGGGTGTCCCACAGCACCGTGTTCCTTTGCAGATGACACCCCAATCTGCATGACAGTGTCTTCCATTTCAGACACTGCAAAGCTCCAGGGGGAGACATCAACCAAATCTTTAGGGGCTGCAGAAAACAAAATGAAGTTCAAAGTGAGAAATTTCAATTTTTCAGATATTAAAATGAGGAAATTAAAAAATTTACAGGTACAAAAAAAATTCTGGCCCCAAAATAGAGCGAAACACCAACGTCAAAGACCTGGGAGTGATCATTTGGGGATCTCACCTTCAAGACCTAAAATTGTATCAATCGCATCTGCTAGAAAAATACGGAGGATAATGAGAACCTTCAAATAGGGAGGCCCAAGCCCATGATGACACTCTTTAGGTCACTTGTTCTATCGGGTGGAATATTCTGCACACAACACACCTTTCAAAGGCAGGGGGAAATTGCCGACCAGAAAATGTACAGAGAATTTCACGGCGCGCATAAAGGAATAAAACACCTCAATTTTTGGGGGCGTTGAGGGTTTCCAAAACCCCTTTTTCCCCCGGAAGCAGGGGGGAGGTACAGATTATATACACCTGGAAAAATTAGAGGGGCTAACCGAACTTTCACACGAAAATCACCCACTACGAAAGCAAAAGACTTGGGAGCGATGCACCACCCCCCCAAAGAAAAGCAGGTGTCACGCACGTTTAAAAGACCATAATAAGTGTCAGGGGCCCCAACGTCAATGCCCCCACAAAATAAGGGGGATTACCAACAACCCCGGCAGTCTTTAAGCTGGCACTGGACAACACCTAAAGTCAGTTCCGGGTCAGCCGGGCTGGGCTCGTAGTTGGGTTTTGGTGCAGCCAGCAGCAACAGCCTTTGATCAGGCCTGATCCCCCCAGGAGGCCCGGTCTCAGACCGGGGGGGGGGGCCCCGGGGGGGTTGACCCCCCGGGAAATCTCTCCAGTAAACTCCAGTAAATATCCCCCAAAAACTATTAGACTGCTATGTGGAAAATTTCATTTATCTGAATGTACCAGTATATACATAACAGTAAATGAACAAAGATAATTATTATTTATCAGTTAGACAAGTAGGAATTTGGGTCGCAAAAAATGTCCCCCTTCGATACCTACCACTGTCATATCCACAAGTTGCTCTGGACCCATTAATTACAACGAAATATGGATCACCAGGAATGCTGGTAAATATATAAATTTGTGGACTGTATATAAAAAATAAATGATTATATATATATACACAATTACATAACAGAAGGAGAATATATCTTAATCATAACACTCGCCAATTTGACTGGAGATTAATGTGTATCATAATCAGAAAACCTCACTGTCTATCTATGAAAATAACACTGGCCAGGTTACAACATAAGACTTGTCTGAGGTTCGTGGAGCTGTCTTGTCCAGTCGCCTGATATCTCAAGTTATGCAGGAATGCACATCCAACAATTTCGCCTCCTGTATGAGAGGTGTCAACCCAATTTTTACCTCTAGAGCACGAAAATTCTTCACATTATTAACAAATGTCTGTTACTCTCAATTTAAAACAATAGCGAGTCCTGTCTGCGCAGGCGCAGAGCCTCCCTGTCGGCTCCATTCATTCTTTTAAAAATACACTTTTAATCAGGTTTATTTACACAGCATAATATTGGGAAATTATTTTCCACAGCATATGTTTCGATCGCTGTATAGTGGAGTCGGGTATCATTGCCCATTGTTTGAATGAACTAATTTTGACAAACTATTGCCCTCAGTGGCAGCACCATGAGGGGAGGCCAAGGAGAGGTTGAAGCTCCCTATAATCTCCATTCGCCTCTTCAAGTTTCCCTCCCCCCCCCCTCCAGACAAAAAAATAGCCTATCTTCAGGACATGGAGTTTACCTGGAGAGGGTTCCGGGGTCAACGCCCCCGCGGCCCGGTCTGTGACCAGGCCGCCTGGTGGATCAGAGCCTGATCAACCAGGCTGTTACTGCTGGCTGCACGCAATCCAACGTACGAGCCACAGCCTGATTGGTCAGGTACCGACTTTAGGTGCTTGTCCAGTGCCAGCTTGAAGACTGCCAGGGGTCTGTTAGTATTCCCCCTTATCTTCTATCCTCCCCTTCCAACCAAACTGCTAACCTTAATTAGCATCTGCATAGAAATTCTAGAGCCGCCCTTGATTGCCCCCTCTCCCCCCAAAAAAAAAATCACGCAATCTAAAAAAAATCATTGCAATCTAAAACTAGATTGCAATCAAATCCTCAGAGGACTTATTAAAATTTATGCCTAGAACGGTCAATTGCAAGAGTTTGTCAAACGGTACTGTTGATAAAACAGGCGTTGCCTTGTCATCAAGTCTGACTCCCCTAGTGTTAAACAGTATATACACCGTGTTGTATTACTGTTATTACATTCATGATAAATATGAATCTGAAAGGGGTCATATTATGCTAGGGGAATGGGAGACTTTTAACTCGATTCAAGGAAAGGAAGCCTAGTTCTAATCCCTTGGATCCGTTGCGCATCAACAGCATCGAGGAACCTCCCTTCAGAGTATATAACAAGGCTTATCCTGTAACTAGCTAAGATGATCCTCTCGGTATGTCTTCCTCAGGTATTCAAGAAATGCAATTAACAGTAAACAAGTTTCCCTACTTGTTTGTTTCTGGTAACGGCGATGACGGTCATAAACAGCTGACAAAGCCTCATGGCGCCAGTTACAAACCGCTACACCTGCAGCCAAGCAGGTCAACGGTACCGTTGCTCGCTCACACACCCAAAAATACCATTCCTATTTACATTCTCTTTATTCTCACATTTATATTACAATTTCTAATAAATCTGTCAATATTGATTTGATGTTGTGCTGACTAAGGTAGTTTAACATTCTGGTGGCAGATTTTAGGTGATAATTTAACGATATATTCACTAACTGCTACCTGTACGACAGCCTGTGAAGCTGACCGTAGATATTTCTTGTGTTTTCTGGGAGCATCATCAGTACAGCTAGCGACGCTGAGGGAGTCGGTTGTACGGAGCTTCCTCTTGTTACCCACTTATTCAGAAGGTAATTAATACAAAAAATAATTGCTGTAAACCTACTGTCGCGCTCGAGGGCGGTCCTATTTATTTTACTCTTTGCAAACTTCCTTCACTGATGGTAATTGTTAGCTTGTTTTACTCCTATACAATTCTTATTCTCGTTTAGATCATACATTATTGTGTCCCTTTTCCTAGGCTTTAAATCGGTATTTGTCTAAGTTTTTTTTTTTTTTTTTTTTTGGAGGGGGGGCGATTTTTTGTCTTTATTCAGTTCCTTATTGAGAGAAAACTGATGTTGACAACAAAATGGGTAAGAGATTGGCTATTTCGACCTCCCACTGAGGTCCTCTTCCTTATTTGTATCAATTTCGTTAATTTATTTGTGCACCTGTTATCTCGCCCGTCACCCTACAAGACAGTGAAGAATTGGTCTAATTTATCTATCTAGAAAAAATTAGAAACGAGTAACTAATCCTCCTTGTGTGTTATGTAGGACATATCTGTTCTATAAATCTAGAACCATAGAGGAAAATGAAAATAAGGCAACAACAAAGGATTTTATGGAACGTATTCAGTGTATCTACCATTATTGTTGATACACGAATGGAAATGGAAATAAGTCACTGTCTGACTTTTTTGGGTTATCCTAGGTTCTTTACACATATGCTGTTATGTATGATAATTCTGTAACTGTATTTGTGTATACCTGAATAAACTTACTTACAAACTAGATAGCCAGTAAAGTACATGGTTAATGGAATTATTAGTGATGTTGCACGTTGGATGACAAGTTGATCCCATGGATCAGAAATCTTCCCTATGAGGATAGACTGAGGGCCCTGAATCTGCACTCTAAAAAGGCGTAGAATTAGGGGGATATGATTGAGGTGTATAAGTGGAAAACAGGAATTAATAAAGGGGATGTAAATAGCGTGCTAAAAATATCTAGCATAGACAGGACTCGTCACAATGGTTTTCAATTGGAAAAATTCAGGTTCAGGAAGGATATAGGAAAGCACTGGTTTGGTAAGAATTGTGGATGAGTGGAACAAACTCCCGAGTACCGTCATAGAAGCTAAGACGTTGTGTAGTTTTTAAAAATAGGTTGGATAAATACATGAGTGGGTGACTACCTACCTGAAGTCTACCTGGAGGGCATTCCGGGCATCAACGCCCCCCGCGGCCAGGTCCACGACCAGGCCTCCTGGTGGATCAGGGCCTGATCAACGAGGCTGTTACTGCTGGCCGCACGCAATCCAACGTACGAACCACAGCCCGGCTGATCTAGTACGGTTTTTAGGTATCTGTCGAGCTCCCTCTTGAAGACAACCAGGAGTCTTCCGGTAATGCCCCTTATTGCTGGTGGGAGGCTGTTGAACAGTCTTGGGCCCCCGGACACTTATTGAATTTTCTCTTAGTGTACCAGTGACGCCCCTACTTTTCACTGGGGGGTATGTTGCATCACCTGCCAAGTCTTTTGCTTTCGTAGGGAGTGATTGCTGTGTGCATATTAGGGACCAGTCCCTCCAGAATCTTCCAAGTGTAGATTATGATATATATCGCCCGCTTCCTGGCCCTCCCAGTAGTTAAGGTGTTTGAAGGAACTTATACATGCAGTAAAGGTTCTCTGTACATTCTCTAGTTCTGCAATTTCTCCTGCCTTAAATGGGGATGTTAATGTACAGCAGTATTCCAGCCTAGAGGAATAAGTGTTTTAAAAAGGATCATCTTTGGGTTTTGCTCTCTTGTCTTGATGTTTCTTTATCATCAAATCAGTTTCTCGCAGATGTGAGGTGGCATTGTGGTCTTGAAGGTGAAGGGCCTTTGGACATTACCACACCAGGCTTATAATTATTTTTTCGGCTTTTATGTGTGATTGGGGAGTAGTGTAGTATATCAGTCCTGGTTATTAAATTTTCTTCAGTTTTCATTAACGGAGTAGTTGGAATTTGTCTTCATTGAACATCATATTGTTCTCTGTTGCCCATTGGAAAACTTGGTTTATATCTTCTTGGAGCTTTGCCGTGTCCTCAATGGATGACATTCGTGCAGATCCTAGTATGATACAGTGCTGTGGTTTACATCTCTGTCTGATATGAGAATAAGGAACAGGATAGGTGCGAGTACTGTGCATTGTGGGACGGGAGCTCTTTCACTATGGCAGCATCTAATTTAACTGTTGACCACTACTCTGTGTGTGCGATTGGTTAGAAAGTTGAAGATCCATCTGCTTACTTTGCCGGTTATCCCTTTAGTACGCATTTTGTGTGCTATGACACCATGGTCGCACTTGTCAAAGGCTTTTGCAAAGTCTTTGTATACTACATCTGCATTGTTTGTTTTCCAGTGCATCTAGGACCATATCATAGTGGTCTAGAAGTTGCGAAAGGCAGGAGCGACCTGCTCTGACACCATGTTGACCTGGGTTGTGCAGTTTTTGGGAGTCCAGGTGGTTTGCTATCGTGCTTCTTAGATCTCTTTCAAAGATTTTTATGATGTGGGACGTTAAAGCTATTGGTCTATAGTTCTTAGTTGCTGCTTTGCTGCCACCTTTATGGAGTGGGGCTATATCTGTTATTTTTAGTGACTGGAATCTCGCCTGTGTCTAAGCTCCTTCTCCATAGCATACTTAGGGCCGTGAGGGGGGTTTCTTGCGGTTTTTAATGAACACCTAGTTCCACGAGTCTGGGGCTGGGGCTGAGTCCATGGCCATATCGTCGATGGCTTTCTCAAAGTCTAGTGGAGTTAGGGTTGTCATATCTGGCCTACATTGGCAGGGTTTTGAGGCTCATTCATGAAAAAATTGTTTGGATTGTCTATCTTAAACTGGTTAGTGATTCGCTGAACACTTTGCGATTTCAGTATCTCGCTCATTTTTGTTGTCTGTGTAGGATCCGTCTTGTCTGAGCAGGGGCCCTATACCAGAAGTAGTTTTTTACTTGTTTTTGGCATATGAAAAGAAATATTTTTAATTTCTTTCAATTTCATTAATCGCTTTTAGCTCCTCTTGTCTCTCCTGGATCCTGTATCAGTCCTTTAACTTTAGCTCAATGTTTTCCACTTGCCTGGTTAGCACTTCCTTCCGTGTATCATAATCTGGCATTCTTGAGGAGTTCAATGATTCTTCTCCTGTAGAGGGAGCGTCTCTCTCTCTCCAGTTTACTTCTCTTCTTTTGTATTATAGGAATTAACCTTGAACATACTTCAGCTACCAGGAGGGTGATCTTTTCGAGGCATTAGTTAGGGTCCATGTAATTTAAGATATCCTCCCAGCATGTTTCATTTAGGTATAGTTTACCTGATCCCAGATGATGTTCTTGTTGTTGAAGATGAATTTGGTAAAGGTACCCTCATAGCTGTATGCATCTTGCCGATCAGGACTCCTGTGCATACAAGTCTGGACTTAGATTAGATTGTGATGTGTGGGTGGGTGAGTTGGACCTGACTAGCTTGTGCTACTAGGTCGGATGCCGTGCTCCTCCCTTAAGCGAATGTGACTGACCTGACCTGGTCAAGGCATTAGCTTAAGCCGGTGGGAGAATTGGACCTGCCTCGCATGGATCAGTAGGCCTGCTGCAGTGTTCCTTCTTTATGTTCTTATGTATTGATAGGCTTCCGCAAGTGTCCAACACAATTTTCAACACCTTCAAAGTTACCCCAGAGAAAATTCCAATGAAGGAAGAACGGAGTTCCTCACCGGCCACTCCACAGGCTCTAGACAAACTAGCCAGTGACTTCATTCATGTTGATTCGCCGGTACTTCCGGCCCAGGTCTTCTCCAGATGGTGACCCGGCAGTGGCCCCCCGGGTGAGGGGTGACGATCATCTTTCTTCTTTCTTGGCCCTCCGGTTGGAGGGTGTCGTCTTCTATCTTGCGCTGACTTCCCGGAAGAGAAGCGCAGTCGGGCAGAGGCAGCAGTTACAGGGTCGATTGGAGCCACACCCCAGCTTTAGCGGACAGCAAAGTGCTGGGGAAACTTATCTTCATGGTGAATGGTCATGGATAGTCGTGCTAGAGGAGGGTACCGTCTTCAAGGTCCCCATTCTGAAGCGTCCTGAATTTCCTCTTTGAGGTTGTACTCGACTTCCACCCAAAGGGGTTGGGTGTTGGCAGTGAGTTGTTTGGTCATGTCTGCAGTGGTGTAAAAAGTTTGGTCGTAGGTATACTTGACTGTTCCGTCCTGGAGGTGCTGATGGATTTCTGAAAACAGCATTGTGTTATTATATGCTTGGTTGTGTAGAAGTATACACCCTTCAGGTATCGGACTTGTTGTGGTTTCAGCAGTGTTAGTTGTACCGTGAGGTGCATCCGCAGTTTCTTGTTTTTTTTGCTTTCTTGGCTGGTGGCTGAACTGGTGAAGGCGAGATTTCCGATGGTCAGTTGCTCTAGCAGTGGATGCAAGCGGTAGTGGACTCTCATTGGTGGGGTTTGGGCCCACGTCTCAGGGGTCTCTGATTGGCCCATCTCTGTGTCTATGGAGGTTGTGAAAGCGGGGAGCGCGGTGATGCTGGTAATTTGAAGTAGTTTTTAGGATTCGGGGAAAAGGGTATGTTCGAGAGCACCCCCACCGTGGAGGAAGACGTCGTCTTTCCCCCGCTCTTCAGCTGAGCAACCTGAACACTGTTGCTCGAAATTTATTTGGGGGTTATCCTGAGTATTTTCTTCACCAGAGCTGAAGGAGATTTGCTTGCAGTCATTTCGACCCCCACCCCATCAAGGGGTAAGGCGGTGGGATTGCTTGTTTGTCCCCCCTTTCCATCCCCATCCCCCTCCTTCCCCACCCCCCTCACCCTACATCAACACTGGCCCACACACTTAACACACTACATACATTGCATCCTTCTGACTGCCTACTTTTTTTTTTCGGAAACTTCGCTTTGGCGGGGTTAAACCCAAAAGGCTTTTGCCCATCTGGTCCCCTTTGGGGGTTTTTTAAAATCCAGCCGATCTTTCCCTTGGGGCCCTTTTCCCCTCACTACTCGAGGGTGGCTTCTTGGGGGCGACCTTATAAGTCGCTAAAATGG